ATCGTCCCCATGGCACATGGTTGGGAGTTGCTGTTGGCTGGCAGTCGGCGTCTGTGGCCATTCTGGAACCCGTGTCAGTCCTTCCTCTTTAAGGTCCTGCATAGCTCAGGGCTTGAGTATCTTCAAGCCCTCTACTCCAAAGTGATTCTGCCTTTTGGTTGAGAGGAGGCTCGCTTGAGGGTCTCAACCACAAGGGGAAATTAACTTCAGGGACCCCCCCCTTAACCAGAGGTGGCCCGTCAGGGCAGGAGCTTGCCTTCGTGACATCTGGATTGAGGCCACCTTGAATTTCTACAGGGTTGGTAAAACATAACCCTCAGGGCATTTGGGGGGACATTTAAGATGCTGGGCCACTGGTGGAAGTGCCACTGCTTTATTTGAATTCTAGTAAAAGAGCACTAATCCAATTACCTATTCCCTTTGTGAGTGCTTTGTCATCAAGAAACTGCATCATTAAGTAGCACAAAGCATCTCTGGCCTTCAAAAGGACATGAAGAAGGCCTTCAGGCAGTGAGATAGACAGCTAAAGCACAGTCGCTTTGAAGAGCTCTATGATTTTATCATTATGGTACTTCATCTTTTATTTTTTGCTCTGTTGTCGTTGGGCGCCTGTCTCCGGAAGCTTAAAAGGAAAGAGAAATTGGTTTCTTCCTGTTTTGCGTTTTTACCGAACAAAATATTGGATTTAATCTCAGCTGCTTCCTCGTTGGAAATATCTGCTGTTACTTAGCTAACAACCCGCCTTTCTCTTCTCTTTTCACTACCTGCTCTCTAGAGGCAAATCTCTGATAGCTTTGAAAATTATTCGAAATGTGAGCAAATACCGTGAAGCGGCCCGACTAGAAATTAATGTCCTAAAGAAAATCAAGGAAAAAGAAAAGGACAGCAAACAGTAAGTGTTCCCACTGCCGTTTATGTTGCGTGTTCTTTTTCAAATGATTGATGTTGAAACAACCTCCAGAGGACGGGGAAAAAAGTCACAAAATGGGCAGCTCTCTTACTTTATAGTGGAAGGAGAAAATCAGCACAGCCCCCTCCCAAGAATTTCTAAAAATTAAGTAGTGCTTATTCTATTAATTTCTTTGCATTTTTTAGTTTTGAGGAAGTAGATACTTTCATATGCATAAGTATCCTTTGTAAGAGGGACGCAGTGGATAAGATGCTGAGCTTGTCAATCAGAAAGGTCAGCTGTTCAGCGGTTCGAATCCCTTGCACCACATTAACGGAGTGAGCTCCCGTTACTTGTCCCTGCTTCTGCCAACCTAACAGTTTGAAAGCACGTAGAAAAATAGGGACCACCTTTGGTGGGAAGATAACAGCGTNTGAAATGCATACTGCAAAGATTGCCCCATTTTTTTAAAAATCTTGCTTCTTAAGCCATGATGGTTAGGTCCTGGTTAGTTGGGTTTTCATCCATCTTTGTGCAAACAAGCCCCCCCCCCACCATTGTCTTTAAAACACAATCTATAGGTAGTCCTTGACTTACGACCACAAGTGAGCCCCACATTTATGTTAAGTGGTCACAAAAGGGGATCATGTGACCCCCGGGACACCACAACTGTCATAAATCTGAACTAGTTGTCAAGCACCTGAATTTTGGTCCTGTGACCAGGGGGAGGCCGCAACTGTCCTAAGTGTGAAAAATGGTCATGTTGCTTTTTTTTCAGTGTTGTCGTAATTTCGGAGGGTCACTAAATGGACTATTGTAAGTCAAGGACTGTGTATTGTTTAGTGCCGTGTGAAATAATGACACATCTTTGGGGTGATTCAAGCCTTTCATTCTTTTAGTTGAAGGGTTTATGTACAACCTCTCTTCGACCATCTGACCACTGTCCAGTTGTGTCAAACTACAGGTGTAAGGGACACATCTGGTGTGCATCACTTGGGGAAGGTTGTTAGTGGTCAACTCGGTATGTTGAACAAAAGTGCCTTTTGTTATTTTAGCGCCAAATACATAAATAGCTTTCATGCTTTTTTACAAATTTTAAACTTCAGTTTCTTACATGTGTACGTTTTATGATCATACCTCAGCTACTACTTTGTTGTTTTTATGTAAACCTTTATAGTGAGAGGTGTATGGAAATTTCCAGGGAGAAGAGAAAATATTAGACAAAGTGCACAATTTCTTTTTTAAATCCCAGAATCATTTATCCCCAGTTCTACAATTGGGACTTTGAGAATAAATTAGAAGGAGAATTTGATTACCAAGGTCTTAGCTCATTGGGAGTGGTGGAATTTTTTTTTTTTTTACATAATTGTTTTGTTGACACCTGGCATGGAAGCATCTCTGGCTGGAGAGACAGCTTTGCTCTATGAGTAACCATTTCCTTCTTTTCTTCCCTTAATAGATGGGTTAGCCTTACAATTTAGAATAAAATTTCTATCTTTAAACATTAATCCCACACAGCTGCTTTTTAAAGATACTAGTAATTTGTACATACTTTAAACATGTTTATACACTATTAATTTTTTAGTGCAGCTAGTTATTTTTTTGTTACCTTATTTGTTATTTTATTACTTTGTTATTTTTAGTGACATACTGACTTAAGAAATTTCTGGTTCTGTTCTATTTATTTTAGCAAGTCAAAGCAGTAATTGAGCTGCTCTGACTTGCACTAGTAGCTGTTTGCATTACTATTATTTCTCAAACAAGCTTATCATAGAAAAAAGAGTAACAATACCCTTAATGATGTATACAGTGACTCTCATTAAATTTTTCTAGTGTCAGTTGTGCTTAGCTTATAACATTTCCATCAGGACATTAATGTAAATAGGTAATATTCCTTTAAAACGATTGCTCTTAAGACAGTCTGTCTGTTGCTTATGTCATAAAGGTCTTTTTAATGCCACTGGTATGAATATTCTTGAATTTGATGCTGCACTAACCCGTCTTGAAGATACACTAGTTTAAAAAACAAAAGTCAGTATAATAGGATTTTTGAAGTTTGTGAATGGTGGCAAAAAGGTGTGAATTATTGGGAGGAATTTGTTCTGCTGGAGAGGCGGTTTCTTCCATTCACAGACCTCTCTCCTGTCTGTGTTCAGATGCATCACTGTAAACGTTACCACTCACCTGAGCCCGAGCCCTATATGAACCATAGAAGGAAGAGGCGGCGGTCTCGTAGCAAAGAGCACCATGAGGGAAGACCACGGTATCCCACACTCCGGGATTTTCCCAGGAGGTCGCGTTCGAGAAGGTGAGCTGCTTGAAACTAGCATATGAAAAGAGAAATTATAAATGTATTTGCTTTGAGATACCTTATCATCTCTGTAAGTATCGAGAATCATAGACAATAAATCTGTCGAGGTACAAGGTTAGTGCTGTACATGCCCAAAACAACAACCCTCCCCCCTTACACACACACCCCTTTCGGGTTTATATACAGTTGAGGAATTTTGCTTTCGTGGAGGAATTTTGCTTTCGTGTTTGATGAGGACTTGGTGAATTGTTTTCACCACTGAAGGGAACACAAGGCTCCTCCCCATGTCCTTTTGGATTAAGCAAGGCTGCTATTGTGTTGTTGATTGCTTTCTTAGGTCAACCCACAAAGCTCCAAAGCAGGGCACTGTAGCTATTCTATCATTGCACCTCTTTGTTTTAGATCCTTGGCTCCTGGATACTAATTTTGATAAGGGTTCTTTCCTGCCTCCTCTGTTTTTTCAAAACCTATAATGAAACATTAGTTGTCTCAGTTCTTCGTTTGTGCAGATAAAACATAACTCATCTTAGGAAGAGCTGGGAGGCTTTGCAGATAAAACGAAGACAGTTGGGAGAGCCTAGACATAATATTTAGAACTGGTATATTAGTAAGTAGCCACACCATTGTATGGTGTGTGGCATTTTAAAGTGAATTGTAAGAACCGCCCCCCTCTTTTAGCCTCCAGGAAAAGCTTTGAAATCTGGCTATGCTGGTTGGCCTGAAGAAGAAGCTATTGGCTGGAGGTGATCGGTGCACTAACAAGAAAAGGAACTCCACCTCCCTGCTCCAAACCCTTGTTTTGTTTTTTTTAAAAAGGTTTTTATTTTTTTTTTAGTCTCTTACATATATTTACAACTATACGTTCATGTGGTTATTATTCTTATTATATTTATCATTTTTACACATTTATTTTTCCATATAAAGAATTAAAATATACATTCGAGATTGCTTTGCTTAGTGTCCCATACACCTATTTTATGTTACGACCACCCTATTTTTCCTTCTTTTTCTCCCTCCCTCCCTTCTCTCCCTTTCCTTCTTCCCCTTCCTCTGCCCTACTCCTCTCTTCCCCTTCCTACCCTCTCTCCTTCTCTTCCTGTCCCTCCCAGCCTTCCTCTTTCTTCTTTCCCCCTCCTTTCTTCTCCTCACCTCTCCCTCTCTTCCTTTCCTCTTCTGTTGTTGTGGTTTTTTCTTCTCTCATCTGGTGTTTTTTTTAGTTTGTTTCATTCTTTTGTAGTTGTGATCTATTTTTAAAAATTTACACATGTTGAATATTTGTGGGGTTTATCTTGATGTAATCCGCCCAGATTTGCCTAAACCGTGAGATGGGCAGCAAAGAAATTTGATAGATAAATGAAAGAAATCATTCTGCCCTCTTAACAGAAGTAGATCAAAGACAAATATGGACGTCAGGCCTCTGCCATTCCCACTCTGAATCTCTCCAAACCCTCTGAAGTTCAGCCCATGGGATTGGGATTTAAAAAATGGAATGGAAATGAGATACTTTTGGAGAGCCTTCTTGCTCTTAGAGCTGGCTTCTCCTCCCCTCCCCCCCGCCCTGAAATATGGCTGAGATTTGCATCCTCAAGATGTGGGAGGTTGACTCCAGCGTCTGCTTCAACATAGAAATATATTGTGCTTGAGAATCGCACCCCCACATTCCTTTGCAGGTTGCTGTGGAACTGTGGAAATCAGGCAGCCGTTGCGTTCCACTTTAAATGCTGCCAGGATTGGCCTGGCATAGGTTGTCATTGGCATCTCCGCAGTACAGACTGGGCTAGAATAGACGAAATCAGATAAGGACATTCAAAGGTCAGCTGTGACCTACAGTTATAAGCCGGTTGACTTTAGCAGCGCGCATCGAATTACCAACTTCACTTTTATACGTTGCTTGCAATCCTGAACTCACAGAAATTGGCAGATAAGCCTTCGCTTATCCTCTTACCCGAACGGGCTGCTTCGTTGCGAACGAGGATGGTAATAATATGCGAACTGTTTTGTACGAAAGGTACAATTTGTGATGAACTAAAATAAAAACCTGCGCGTGAGACACTATGGCGGAAAGCTTTATTTTCCCTTGGAGCAGCCCTTCCTTCAGAGTAATTTTCTTTGGGGTTGTGAGGACTAAGAATAGAAAAAGGCCTGGTGCCCTGAAAGAGACCAAAGAGATAATAAAGCAAAGAGGCTCTGCATTGTTTGGTGCTATTTGTCAACCAGGAAGTTACTTTCATGAGTGAAAAATAGAACAGTGGGCCCACGAAGCCGTCGGTCGTCGTACAAAGAGGCTTTTGAATAAAGAGCCCACTTGATTCCGGAGGCTGAAATTCTAGCCTCAGCCCAAATAGGGCGTGGGCTTTATATGCCAGAAAGATGTGTTCTTCTCCAAATCCTAGTTCATTGTTCCGTGTGCTGCATCCCACACCGACCCCGTCTCTCCTGTGATCTGCTGTTGGCAATTGTTAACAATTCCGACCTCAGAAGATGATAGATTGCTTAAAAGGCCTGGTTTTTACTGCATAGGGAAATAGAGGCAGGCGAAATGGGACAAAATAAGGAATTACGTAGGGAAGTTTGTTATTACGTGCTATAATCTCAACGAAGCCTGTTTCCCTGGTTCTTTTCTTCTTTGCTTAGGATAATTTTTAGTGGAACCGCAGTCTCAGAATGAACAAACATGATAACGTTTCTGCAGCTTTGTTGCAGAAATATGCTACAGCCAATGTTGTCGTGAGAGCTAATTGGCAGGTGCATCTGCTGACTGGTCAGTTAGGATTTGTGTGTTAAAGAGTTATTTTAGGTAGCTGTTGTAAGTGCATTGGCAGTAAGTTAACATCCTCTGTCAGATGTTTCCCCCTCCCCCTCCTTTATAATGAAGCTTTTAGGGATGCAGTGACTAAGACACTGAGCTTGTCGATCAGAACAATCAGCAGTTTGGCAGTTTGAATCCCTAGTGCCGTGTGACAGAGCGAGCTCCTGTTAGTTGTCCAACCAAGCAGTTCAAAAGCATGTAAAAATTCGAAGTAGAAAAATAGGGCCCGCCTTTGGTGGGAAGGTAACAGGCTTCCATGAGCCTTCAGCATTGAGTCATGCCGGCCACATGACCACAGAGACGTCTTCAGACAGCGCTGGCTCTTCGGCTTTGAAACGGAGATGAGCACCGCCCCCTAGAGTCAGGAGCGGCCTATGCGTGAGGGGAACCTTTACCTTTAATGAGGCTTTTGTTTGCAATTCAGCCAGGACAGATTGCCTTACCAGAGAGGGTACCGAGACAGGATGGACAGTGAACTCCACAAGTTTGAAGAGCCAAGCCCGTCTTTTGTAGAGGACTATTACTCTACCCGTCGTTCACGTCACCACAGGAGATCTCGGGAGCGTCATCGGACCAGGAAGCACCAGCACCATTGCCGGAAACGCAGGACCAGGTCATGTAGCAGCACCTCCTCGGTGAGTAGCATCCAAAACGAGTTCAGGAAATGTTCTAGGGCCCAATGACCTTCTAGCTCTTTTTCAGCTTTGATTTAACATTGGGTGAGTACTTCTAATCCCTATCTTTTTTTTTTTTTCTCCCCTTCTCGGTACGGTTTCTTAAGGTTTCTTGTCTCGTGCGATCCGGGTTATGTTACGTTAGGCTTGGTAAACCAGCGGTGGAAAAAAAAAAAGCTTGTAGTGGATGAGAATCCAGTGTGGTGTTTTCTAAGATGCATTGGGAGGCGATGGTTCCCGGGGGCCTTTGTGCACGGGGCTCAGGACTTTCCACTCTGAAGCGTCCACCCCATAATATGTTTGGTGACGCTTGGTTAGTTGTCTTCAGGAACTCAGGCTGTTCTGCCTTCGTAACAGGACAGGTTTTTTTTTTTTAGCCTTTGGCCCCAGCCAGGTTGTGTTGGACTTGGCTGAATAAGGGCACTTCTTGTCACCACCAACCCTCTGGAAGAGAATTCTGGTGAAATCTGGCTCCTGCGGGGCGCATACAGGCAGTCCCCGACTTACGACCACAACTTGAGCCCAGCATTTCTGTTGCTAAGGGAGAGGCGTGCGTTAAGCGAGTTTGGTCCCGTTTTACAACCTTTCTCTCCATAGCGAAATCCCTGCGGTTGATAAAAGTTAGTAGCCCGGGACCTTAAGTGAATCTGGCTCCCCCCCTCCCCCCAATTGATTTTGCTTGTCGGAAGGTCGTAAAAGAGAATCACGTGACCTTGGGGAACAACAGCAACGGTTGTAAGTATGAGCCAGTTGCCGAGCGTCTGAATTTTGGCCACGTGACCATGGGGATATGCTGCAAAGGTCGTAACTGCAGTCACGTGTTTTTCAGCGCCGTAGTAACTTTGAACGGTTGCTAAATGAACTGTTGTAAGTCGAGGACTGCCTGTATAATGAGCTTGAATAACCTGACAGCCTCCCAAGGACTCAAAAGAACTCCAGACGGTGGGAATTTTGAGTACCAGCTGGGCAATAATAAGACAGGGCTATAAGCATATATTCAGCCAGCCAGAGGTTTGGGGAACACGCAGGAGGTTTTTCTAGCTTTGGTTACAACACTCTCCTAATTGAAATGCATATTTAAATGAAACGAATAAGCAGTTCCCACATCTCACCCAGGGATTGGCTCTTACCCACCAACCTGCAGAGAAAAGAAAGCAAGTAATTTAATAACCAAACAGAACAGGCGGCTGTTAAAGAGCATGTATGACTTTGCTTTACTTGATTCATGCCCCTCCCAGGTCCCTAAAGCTGGGCGTGCTGTAATTAATGGCTCCTCGCCCTTCCACACCTAGCAAAGGGAAGGGAGTTTTGTGGATGGTTTGAACCAGTCCCTCCTCTTTGCTTATCCTTGTTTTTGTTTTTGTTTTTTTTCAAATTTACACTTGCTAATATCTTACAGGCTGCTCACCGTAAGTCTCCCCTTTCCCTGTTCTTGGAATTTGTCCCATCAGTATGATTTGCAGTGTTAAGGGTACGGGAGTTTGCTCGGTGTGACCTGAAACCATTCTGTTTTCTTAACCTCCTTTAACCTGCTCAAGGATCTTAAGATTGACCTCAGCTTGTCTGTTCCAACCACTTTCTCTTAGAGCAAATAGGCCTAGTTGTTCTCCAGTGGAAGGTGGAACACACGAGCTACGTAACAATTTTTTTGCGATGAAAAGGTTTAACGATAAAAATGGCGATTGGGATAATTCTTGATAGTAGTGGAACTCTTCAGGATTGCTTGGCTGTTTTCTTCCCACTCCTTCAGTGCAGTAGAACCTAGTCACCACGAAGGACTCCTTTTCTGTGGTTTTTTTTTTTCCTTTTCTTTTTCTTCAAGAGGGCCAGAAACTTTGCTGAGCATTGGGGCGGTATGGGGCTGACCTCCATGACCTTAGTTGGTCTTTTGGCCCTTTTATAGAACGCCACATTTTAAAAATGCTCGACTCCCACAGGGGTTCCTGTCTAAAGGCTTCTTCTAAGCTTGATTTCTACTCAGTACTGAAAGCAAAGAAGGGATTAGGCCAGGCTTATCCAAAGTAGAACAGCCAGATTTGCAGTGGTTTCCATCTGATGAGGAGGGTGCTTCAAAACTGAACAGCCACTGGGNGTTTGAAAAAGGGTCACCTGGCCAAGTAGGAAGAACAGGAAAAGAGCTAAGAGGAGAAAAGTAAACTTTGCTGGCAGCTCCGTAAGCTGAGATGGGCGGTTTGATACGGCAGCAGCGGCTTTGCTGCAAATTAAGACATTTGCTAAGTGAGTTTCGCCCTCTTTGACGACTTTTCTTGCCACCGTTGTTAAATGAATCATTGCGGTTGATAAAAGTTAGTCACACGGTTGTTAAGTGAATCCAGCTTCCCCATTGTCGTAACTATGAACCACTTGCCAAGCACGTCTGAATTTTGATCACACGAGTAGGGGAAATGCTGCAATGGTCGTTAAGTGTGGGAAATGGTCACACGTTACCTTTTCAAGGGCTGTTGTAACTTTGGAACGGTCGCTAAAGGCATTTGTAAGTCAAAGAAGTGAGTTCAGTTCCGTAGAAGAGACTGACTCAGGCCTTAATAGCCCATTGACAAAGGTGGGGGGGGGGGGTATTTTATTTATTATTTATTTATTAATGGGATTTATAAGCCGCACAATCCCGAAGGATTCCGGGCGGCTTACAGAAAGAAGGGGAAAGAAATAATAAAAAAGAAAAAAAGACAGATTTAAAATCACAACACATGGATTCGCTCTAATCGGAGCTGGACCTCACAATGAGGTCAACAGCCCCAGGCCTGCCGGAATAGCCAGGTTTTAATAGCTTTCCTGAAGGCCATGAGAGTGGATAAGGTCCGGATCTCTGGGGGTAGCTCATGCCAAAGGGTCGGAGCAGCCACAGAGAAGGCTCTCCTCCGAGGGCCTCCAAGGGCCCAACACTGTCTGGCTGACGGCATCTGAAGGCGGCCCAATCTGTGGGATCTCACCGGCCGCTTGGAGGTATGTGGCAGTAGGCGGTCTCGCAGGTACGCTGGCCCTAAGCCATGTAGGGCTTTAAAGGTAGTAACCAACACCTTGAATTGCATCCGGAGACCAACTGGTAGTCAGTGCAGCTCGCGGAGGATAGGTGTAACATGGGTGTTCCGAGGTACACCCAATATCACTCGCACGGCCGCATTCTGGACCAGCTGCAGTCTCCGAATGCTTTACAAGGGTAGCCCCATGTAGGGTTGAGTTTCTGCCTCCCTTTTAGGGAAAATATTCTACCCTATGTGGGGAGTTATCACCCAGCCCTCTCCCAGAAAAATGAAATATCCTAGGAAATATTGAAAAGGCAGAATATTTCTCTGGATGTGAAAAGAAA